ATATTTGAGGAACCTTTCAGCCCATACTTTTAAATTAAGTGGAAATAATGTGCAATATGGCACCCAGTTAACTTTCTGGCTTTACCGTCCTCTAAACCTTGTGCTGCAAGTCTGAAGTTAGAAAAGTACAATTGCCATTTATTTATTTTTATGGGTTTATTTATTAAATTTATATGCTGCCCATCTCCCTGATAATGGTAATAGCAATAGCACTTATATACCGCTTCAAAGTGCTTTTACAGCCCTCTCTAAGCAACAATCTGAGTCCTCATTTTACCCACTTTAGAAGGATGGAAGGCTGAGTCAACCTTGAGCCTGGTGAGATTTGAACTGCTGAACTACAACTCAAGTAGCCTGCAGTACTGCACTCTAACCACTGCGCCACCTTGGTGCTTAAGGTGGCTAGATAAGGTGACTCTGGGTGGCTTACAAAGAGTAAAAAGATAGAAAAAAGTAAGAAAGAAAGAAAAAGAAAGAAAGAAAGAAAGAAAGAAAGAAAAAGAAAGAAAGAAAGAAAGAAAGAAAGAGGGAGGGAGGGAGGAAGGGGTGGGTGGGTGGGTGAGTGGATGGATGGATGGATGGGCGGGCAGACAGGCAGGCAGGCAGGCAGGTTCTGATAACCTTCCAGAAGGCCGAAAAGGCAAGAGCACTTCTAGTGGTAGAGTGTTCCACAGGGCTGGGGACAGAGTGGAAAAGGCTCTTCTTCTTCTTCTTCACCCCATCCAGGGGTGAAATCCAGCAGGTTCTGACAGGTTCTGGAGAACCGGTAGCGGAAATTTTGAGCAGTTCGGAAAACCGGTAGCAGAAATTTTGAGTGGTTCAGAGAACCGGCAAATACCACCTCTGGCTGTTCCCAGAGTGGGGTGGGAATGGAGATTTTGCAATATCCTTCCCCCAGGAGTGGGGAGGGAATGGGGATTTTGCAGTATCCTTCCCCTGGAGTGGGGTGGAAATGGAGATTTTGCAGTATCCTTCCCCTGCCATGCCCATCAAGCCACGCCCACAGAACCGGTAGTAAAAAAATTTGGATTTCACCACCGACCCCACCCACTGGAATTCCTTAGCAGACAGTATCTGCAGCAGGCCTCTTACGCTGGAGCAAGTGAGGTGGGCTAGTCCCATTGGGGCAAGAGGGCTCCTCAGCTACCCTGGACCCATGCCATTTTAAGTATGTGTGTGTGTTTAGAAATGTTTAAGTGATTGCAGCACTGTAGCCACCAGTCTTCCAATCCCATGTATCATTCCCATTAAGATAGAAAGCACCAGATCTGTGAGGTAAGAGTGGACTCTGCTCTCCCACTTAGGTTGACACCTTAGACAAATTGGAGAGCAGAGTCCACTCTCATCTCACAAATCTGGTGCTTTCTATCTTAAAGTAGCACCTGGTTTACTGGAGAACCACTAGCCCTACCAGGTTTTGACAGATGGTCTAATCATCCGTCAAAATGTGTGTCCTGTTTGCTGCTTTTCCACTGGCAGGTAATACCAGAAAATCTACCAATTGCATTATTTACATTTGTCTTACATTAAATTTGTGAGGACCAACCAGTCACTGGACTGATTGCTGAGGGAGAACAGGCCTAAGGAAGGAGGGTAGCACCACATACACCTCAGGGATTGGAAGAAAACATATTTAACACAGAAGTGAGACTTTGAAAATTAAAATGGAAATGTAGTCATGCTGTTTTAAGACTCTTTGGAAGGATCTCTGGATAATACTGTGTTTATTTTGATTTAGCAACATCATTGTAGCTGTTTAGTAGGCTCTTCCGCTGCATGATATGGCCCATTAGGAACCCTGGGACCTGCCTTATATCAGGCATTTTCTGCAGGAAAGCACACATTTTTCCATAGAGGTAGAGCCTCTCCCTTTGGTAGGCCTTTCTACTACAACTACAGGATACTTGTATGTTTTCCCTCCATGCATATTTTATTAGATTCCATTCTTCTGCTTCTCTCCCCCTCCCTTCCTCCCTTCAGCAAAAGACTAATCCTGTCACCGATTTCCCCTTCTCACCCCAAGTGTTTCCCTGATTTTCTTTATATGTCAGTAATCTGCACCCGATGGCAGTCTCATATTAGAGTTTCATTATTGCTTGTCTCTGTGCGCTTAAGTGTAATGAAGTGTGTAATTTCCCTGGAATCATTTGCGATGCCTTAAGGTGAAGATCTGTTTGATATGGTCCATCCCTGTCACTGAGCTGTTGAACAGCACCGTTATTGCAGCCAAGGTCTCTGGAGCTAAAAAACAAAACAGAATGGCAATGTTAGTAACCCCATGAGCATCTTTTGTCCCATACAATCTGTTCAGCGCCAGACTGAAACCGTTTCCTAGGTAGCACCTGCTCACATATAATCTTAATGTTTCATTGTCTCACTGAAATCCCCAGAAGTTATCATCTAAAATCATTTACTGCAAATTAATGGTTTCTCCTCTCCTTTTCAGTTACATCAGTAGAGATGCAAGCTTATTAGTTTTCAGATAATAATAATAATAATAATAATAATAATAATAATAATAATAACAACAACAACAACAACAACAACAACAACAACAACAACAGCAACAGCAGCAGCAGCAACAATAATAATAAAAAATAAAAATGATGATGATGATGATGATGATGATGATGATGATGATGATGATACAATGATACCCATTATCATCGGGGCGCTAGGTACCATGTCCAAGAATTTTATAAGATACATCAACAAATTGCAGCTTCCTGCAATAACACCAGCGGAACTGCAAAAAACTTTTGCCAGATATCATAATTGTCGAAAACCGAAGCATACATTTTATTGATATCGCTATATCAGGAGACGCCAGAGTTGGAGAAAAAGAACTGGGGAAAAAAAATCACAAAACATCTGGCCATCGAAACTACATGATTATGGATGAAACATGTAACAGTGAAACCCATTGTCATCAGAGCACTTGGTATCATGTCTAAGAATTTTATAAAATACATCAAGAAATTGCAGCTTCCTGCAATAACACCAGCGGAACTGCAAAAATAAACCTGTGCTACTTGGAACAGTATACATCTTAAGAAAATACTTGGTTGAGACCTAGGATGCTGGCAGAAACCCATATCAACCATCAGCGCCAGTCAATTATATTTGTGATACATTTTTAAATGTCCAGTTGACTGAATTTCATGTTTAATGTATAAAAGAGATAATAATAATAATTTAAAAATGGGTCACAAATACCATTGACTGGTGCTAATGACTGATACGGGTTGCTGCCAGAGTCCTAGGTATCAACCAAGTTTCTTTTTAAAATATACGATGTTCCAGGTAGCACAGTTTCTTTTTTGCAGTTCCGCTGGTGTTATTGCAGGAAGCAATAAATTTTTTAAAAATGTCCAATTGACTGAGTTTCATGTTTAATGAATAAAAGAGATGATAATAATAATAATATCTGCACATATACTACATTGACACATTATGACATGGTAAGTCCTTTAGGAAGAACCTGATGCATATTAAGGTCAACTGGCAAATGTAATTTCACATTTAGGTCTATATCATCATCCTCACCACCCTCATCACCCAGGGAGGCACTACCTTGATGTAGTTGTGTGACTTGCATGCTCCAAGGAGGATAAGAGCTATGCCAGAGGTTCAACCTTACTGGAAAGGTTTCATCGGAGGAGCCCAACAAACCGTGTGAATTCAATAAACAATATGGTGATATGTAATTTTTAGAAACCTAATGTCAACTTTGAACCGAACCTGGTAGCAGCCATCTTTCTGTTCCTCAGTTGCCACACAGATGAGGAAGGGGAGAAGGAGGTTGGAATGCCTTACTAGAAACAACAGAGAACTTTCTAGTGAGAATCAAGTTCATCTCGACTGGCAACAGACAAGGTTGGAGAAAGAGTGCCTGGAGAGCCCGCCAGTTAACCCAATTGGCCAACGTGACACTTGGGGATGGGGTTATTTCCTAGGTTAATTATATTGAAACCGCTGGAAAGATTTAGAATTGGTTTTCCATTGAAGCTGTGCTGATATGATTAATATCAATAAAGAAGACCTTTGAGAAGGATCCTAGTCTCAGAGTTCTGATTTGCTTGGGTTCATTAGTCAGTGCCTTGACATTAAACCAATTCTAATTTTTTTTGCCTGATTTTTGGTTGAAACTCTGAGTGGTCTGCATCCATTAGTTGCCAAGCAATTTAACAACATACTAGTAGTTCTCGACTTATGACCACAATTAAGCCCAAAATTTATGTTGCTAACTGAGACATTTGTTGTTTTGTCCTATTTTTTGACCTTTCTTGCCACAGTTGTTAAGTGAATCACTGTAGTTGTTAGTAACACAGTTGTTTAGTCAACAACTGAGTTCCCCATTGAATTTACTTGTCCGAAAGTCACATACAGTAAGTGTTCACATGACCCTAAGACACTGCAACCATCATAAATACGAGTCAGTTGCCAAGCATCCAAATTTGGATTACGGGGATGCTGTAAGTGTCAAAAATGGCCATAAATCACTTTTTTTTCAGTGCAATTGTAACTTTGAACTAAATGAACTGTTGTATGTCAAGGACTTACCTGTACTGCAAGGAAATGAAACTGAATGCAAAACCTACCTGATAGTGAAAGATCCAACAAAAAGGGCAGGACCAGGAAACAATTATTGTTTACCAACAACTTTCAAATTGCCAACTGATGTGATAGCTGATGCCATCTAATAGCATCTCTGCTGCTGTAGCACAATAATTTTATTAAGGATAATTAATGTTGCAAAATATTCAGAACACAGAGCCCATCACTGATTGGTCAACTTACTAATACTGTAACTTCTCCCTTCTTTTAAATCATTTTCAGCAGGAAATTTGGAAATTCATTCAATTGTGTTCAGAGGCCCCAATGAATTCCCACAAGCATCTGGGTTGCCCCTGTTGAGCAAAATAAAATCACAGCAATGATCATTAAATCTGCCAATTATGAGATTTTTTTCCCCCAGTTTCTTATTTTTCTGTTTTTAGGTGTGGTCCATCACATTCTTGAATGAGTCCGAGCACTTCGAAATAAAAGATGTGTAGTAATTTCTTTAAGCATCTGCATTTTTGTTTGTAATTTATACCTAGGGCTCCCCATTTTTGCAGTTTTCCCTGGCTTGGTACATTTTGTTTATTTTCATTAATATGTGCATATTTGTGCAGAAATGTAATGTGCTTTTTAATTGGAAAACTGTGGGGGTTGTGAATGGTACCTGAGTTTAAATGTATAAATCGGTGCAAAGATGGGAAATTAAATATGCTTCCATTCAAATGTAAACCTCACCAAATTTATGCCCATCCTTAATTACAGTTTTCTTTTCTTAAATAGAACAGAATATCATTTCTCGTGACATCTCTATAGAGAAAGCAAACATATTTTTAAGATCCTTGGGATTCTGTTTTTTCAGGCTGGCTTTAACAAAACTCGAGCAGGGCGGGGGAAAGGATAATGTAAAAAGTTCTGCCAGTAAGATTTAACAGCTGTGAGATGAAGCACAGGAGGTGTTATAAAGGCTTCATTAATTGGGAGTATGGTAGATGCAAAAAATAGGTTAGATTATTCAAAAGAACTTACAGGGACAAATACATTATTTTTTTAATGTTAGCAAAGTTGGAACACAAGTTAAATAAGCAATAGAGAAAACCACAGGATGAACCATTGAGGCAAGATCGTAAATCGATTAAAAACTATACCTCACCTTTAGCATGGAATAGTCGTTATAGCTCCACTATATTAGCTAAATTAATGCCATCTAAATAGATAACTCTGTGATGTTTATAGAACAATATGCTTTCAATTCCTTGTGATTTCTATAAGGGCTAAGCATGTAATTGAGTTTATTCCGGGAAAAAATATCACTTCTAGGAAATGACATTATATTCTTGGAAAGAGCTCAGCTCTTCTGAATATCGAGATTTCTTCTTTTTTTTCAGAGTACCTGACCAATGTCAAAGCTGTTGCTTAGCAACCTCAGCCCACCTTCCCTAGGTTTGATTTTCTGTAGGAAGAATTCATGCTGAAAATGTGTCCTTGCCAAACAGTGCTAAATGTAATGAACCAATGACTCAAGGAATGAGACCTTCACCGTTATGGAAACTTTCCTAGCCTTGTATGAAATGAGTGTGACTATGGGGAATGGCTGATGCATCACAAAGCTTGCTTCCCAGAACAATCTTCTTAATTTCTATGATGAAATAAAGTGGTTATGGTGAGGATGTTTTCTTGAAGATGTTTGCACAACACACAGACAACTTCAACATACTTTCAGTTGAGAAACTGTGAGCATCCTAGACCAAGCTAAGTTCAAGAATAGTAGAGAATTTTTAAAAGCCTGGCACTGAAACAAATAGGCAATCAACAGCACATAGAGATAAATAACATCTACATATCATTCAAAAGAGACAATCAAAAAATTTAAAAGAAAACAAACAAAACCCCCAAAGCATCTCTTTGTCAGCAATCAACACCCAGATAAGCAGAGATTAACTAACAAGATTAACCCTAGACAACAATCAAACAATAAAAAAAATACCCTCATCAAGAAACTATTAACTCAGTGTGAGATTCTTGGTGCTTTCTAAGCTTGGTTGTTTTCTTGCAGAGATTTTATTACCAAGCTAGGTAACATAATCAGTGCTAGAAAGGAATGGAGTAAAAAAACAATCAGACTCAGAGAGTGCCAAGAGCCTCACAGTTCACCCCTGAGCTACAAATATTCTGTTCCATCAATCAAGCAGGCAAATCAAGGAATCACCATGATCACTTCCACTAATACTAACAGGGCAAGGCACTTTGTATATAAACAGAGAGCAAACCCCACAGTAAGACGTTCTCTATAATACTGAATTGTTTTATGCCAGTTGTTGGGCAGGCAAGTAAGACAACAACAACAACAACAACAACAACAACAACAACAACATCAACAACAACAATAGAAGACCTTAAAATAAAATTGCTCTATAAAAGAACACATTGTTCTACCATACCATACCATTGTTCTACCATACCATTGGTTTTTTTTTTTGGTTTTCACAAAAGCTGCATTATTTTTACTTGTCTTTGACCCAGAATGCAAGACCAGTGGGATTCCGTGAGAATGAATTATTCATTTGGTCACCAAATGACTCCAAGTGAAACATAAAAGCATCTCTGTAATACATATGGATAGGAGCAAGAACCAATTAGCCCCTTCCTCCACTTCTTCTCCTCAATGTCTCTAAGCATTGGCATAAGTGTTATGCATTAATATCCTTGCTTATAAGTAGCCAAAAATAGCTGCATGTTCTGGTTTTCATACTTAGCTACATTTCCAATGATGCATTGCAGAGCAAAATAGGGGTCCCCCCCCCCTTCTTCCAAACAACCATATCCCTTTCTTATGCATAATTTTTTTCCTAGGTAACCCAGAAAACAAACAAATATAAATGTTCTCAAGATGTTTTTAAACAGTAGGAATATTGTTACAAATCCTAAATTCATTGCAGCAATAAGCTTTGCTTTTTCCATTCAGATGAATAAAAATTAGGCAGAATAATTTAAACTGGGTGATACATATTTTGTCCAAACAGAATGGCATTAAATTTAATACGATTTGTTTTGAAATCAGTTTGGATACAACTGCTACCTGAAAAGTGGGGGGGGGGGAGGAGAGACAACTCATTCTTTAATGAAAAGGGGGAAAAGGAGTGTATTTTTTCTAGATTGTTAATCAATCATCTTTCATTAATAGTCACAGATCAAAATAACAGTACCATAATATTAAAGTAAACAGTTAAAAGACGTGTACATCATTCAGCCTTGTTTAAAGAAGAGATGCAAAGCCTAATTAAATCAGGAGCAAGCGTATTGAGTAACATGGCATGGCAAGCCATTCAAGAAGTCCTTAATATACAACCATTTGTTTAGAGAGTGTTCAAATTTACAACAGCTCTGAAAAAGTGACTTACAACCAGTCCTCACACGTATAACTGTGGGAAGCCCCCCCCGAGAATGAAATAATTTGGGGAATATTAAAAGAGGCAAAATATTATATTTCCCCAAATGAGAAATGGGGAAACATACTCTTACAGACAGAAAGCAGCCCTAATCTTCATGCTATAGGAAAACTCAAGCTGCCTCAAGCAGAACCCTGAAGTCTTTAGAGATGGATACTGTATTTTGTGCCCATTAAGAAATCCAACAAAATGCTAAATAAACAAAATGCCTTTGGCCCAGCTCTCCCAGGCTGGAGCTGATGGAATTAAGAATTTATATAATTTATACCCAAATTATAAGGACAGGACATCACCTTTAGGACATAATAGGATTAACCCACCACCCTTGAAATTGTAAAAGACACAAGGCTCACTACATTGTACAACCGCCTGGAGCATCTCAATCCCCAAACCCCAGAACCAGTGGTGAAATCCAATTTTTTTTTACTACTCGTTCTGTGGGCGTGGCTTGGTGGGCATGGTGTGGCTTGGTGGGTGTGGCTTGGTGGGCATAGCAGGGGAAGGATACTGCAAAATCCCCATTCCCTCCCCACTCCTGGGTGAAGTATATTGCAAAATCCCCATTCCCACCCCACTCTGGGGCCAGCTAGAGGTGGTATTTGCCGGTTCTCTGAACTACTCAAAATTTCCACTACCGGTTCTCGAGAACCTGTCAGAACCTGCTGGATTTCACCCCTGCCCAGAACCCTATAAAAATCCATCCACTCATTCAGCCATTTTTGTCAGACATCCCAGAAACATACTGCTGTTACTGAAGTTTCTGGAAACCAAATAAACAGAGACCTTCTTTCCAATCAACCAGCCTCCATTTTACTTCCACTGTCTTTTTCCCAGTTTGGAACTAGAGTGGATTTTTCTTCCTACATGACCATTGCAGTATCCCCACAGTCAAATGATCAAAATTCAGGTGCTTGGCAACCGACATGTATTTAGGATGGTTGCAGGGCCTTGGGATCATGTGATTGCCATTTGCAACCTTCTCAACCAACTTCCAACAATAGGGAAGCCAGACTTACTTAATGACTGCGTGATTTACTTAACTGCAGTGATTCACTTAACCATGGCAACAAAAAGTTGCAAAATAAGTGTGACTCACTTGACAATTGCCTGGCCTAACAATGGAAATTCTGGTCCCAATTATGGTCATAAGTCAAGGACTGCCTATATAAGGAAATTATGTGGCTGTTAACTCTTGGAGAATTTTGCAAAAAGCAGTCATTCTACTACTGATCAAATTAAAGATGTTGAAGATATATTTCATTATGCTGACAAGGAAAAGTTTCAACATTGAACACTTGTAACTGGAAATAGGCCAAGGATTCTGCAAATTCCAGCTTCATTTTGGCTGGTTATTATATATCATAGGGGATCTAATTATTTCTACCTTCTACAACAGCTGAATTTAGAAGACTAAAACATAAAAATACAAAGCTCTGAAATGTTCAGAAATCACTAGTTGATCTGATTGATTTAAAACCACTGGTTAAATTTCCTAATGGAATGACTGGAGAAAATCCTGCTGTAATCAAAGTAACTTATCTGTAACCTTGATGAAAACTCATAAAGGATATAAACCAAGGCTGAGTTTATGCCTTTTAAATGTGGACCTGCTTACAGTTAAGAGCTGAGGTGTGGAATGCTGAGTTTTATATCTGTTAATTAATGTTGCTATTTTAGGACTCTGTTTGGACTTTTTGCTGACACCTGGATTGGAGAAGGCATTACTTATTTGGATTTGCCTATAGCTGAGTTATGGCCCTTATGAAAGGTTTTATATCTGTTAATTGAGATGAGGTGAAAAGATGCTGAAATTGTTTACACCGATGGTGATGTGGCTGAGAAGCTGCTTTTTTAGGGTTTTTTTTTTCTCCATTTCTATTTCTGCTCTCTTGCATCTTTTTCTTTTCTTTGTATTATCTTTTACTATGGGAACTAACATTTTTAATAAAATTATTTTTTTTTAAACCGTCACCCTTAGCTCATCTATATTCCAAGGCTAGCAACGATTGAGGGGAAAAAGCCATACCCAGCTGTCTGTCATCTGTGAC